CCTATTGCCAGGGTCCCCTTGAATAGAATCTTCCTTACCGTCGTTAACATGAGTCATGACTAATTTTTTCTTTAACACAGCCAGGCCTCTCTTGGAAGCTTCAACGTGCCTAGCTGTCTCTTGGGCATCTCACAAACATCTTACATTTCACAGGTCCCCAAACAAATTCACTTTCCTGTCCCAAACTACCCTTTCTCTGCAGTTTCCTATCTTAGTCATTGGTGCCACCACTACTCAGTTGCTCAAGCTAGAAACCGAGTAGCTAAGAGCACGGACTCTAGAGCTCAACCACCTAGCTTTAAATCCTGCTTTCCTCACTGACTGTGTGACCCTGGGCAAGTTACCTAACATCTCTGTGCTTCAGCTTCCTCATCTGTAAAAGGAAGATAATAACAGTACTTTCCTCAGATGTTTTTTGTGAGCATTAAATAAGTTAACATGATAAAGTAACTGAAACTGTGCTTGGCTTATAGCAAGTGCTCTATAAATTCTTATCAAATGAAGAATATGGAAAACCCACTCCAGTATCTGATCAGCCACCAATAATCTGTCAGTTCTGCCTCCCAGGTATCTTTGTCCTATGCACTTCTGTCATCTGCATCACTAGATCTGTCCTCACTGATTCCTGGATGGATGGCTCCAACAGGGCATCTCTGCATTGCTACCAGAATTGGTAACTGAAACTGTGCTTGGCTTACAGCAAGTGCTTTATAAATTCTTATTAAATGAAGAATATGGAAAACCCACTCCAGTATCTGATCAGCCACCAATAATCTGTCAGTTCTGCCTCCCATGTATCTTTGTCCTATGCACTTCTGTCATCTGCATCACTAGATGTGTCCTCACTGATTCCTGGATGGATGGCTCCAACAGGGCATCTCTGCATTGCTACCAGAATTCTTTACTTAAAACACAAAAACGATCATGGCTCTACTGTTTATGTGATCTCAGATACTTAGCCTCACTGGTCTATGGTTTTCTTCTCTGCAGAATGAAGAAGTAAGATCTCACTTTCAGGATTACTGTGATACAACACATGTAAAACTGACTTGCAGGCAAGCGATCAGGGTGAGTTTCTCATCAGACTTAAACAATTGCGTCACACTCCTCCTTGAAAACCTTTCATGCTCTCCACTATGGATTCCCAGTAAGAGCCAGTCCTGCAGCCCAGCATAAAAGCTACAAAGTCCAGTCCCTGCTTACCTGTCACCCCTCCCCGCTCACCCTGGCCTCTCACTGCGTCCCCCAGGCCCAGGTGCAGGGGAAAACCCATGGCCCCCCAACAAGCTGCTCCTGCCTCTCTCAGCTCTGGGCCTTCCCAGCAGCTCCATCTGCCCTGAGCATGCCCCTTCCCTTTGCCTGACCAACTCCTGCTTTCCTCATATCTCAGCCATCCTTTCGTACATATGGCACCTGCAATATGCTAGGCACCGATCTAAGCACAGAAAATTAAACAGGCAAAGGCCATTATATTCTGGTGGGTGAGATAGAGAACAAAGAAACAAAGAAAAGAATAGAACAGATTGTAAATAGAGACCAGTGCTATGAGCAACAATAAAGGACGGGGCGGTAAGAGAGAGGAAGTGACTGAGACCTGCCCTTTGCAATAGACAGTGTTATGGGTTTCTTTCATTTGAAATCAAAAGGGCCCTGTGAAGACATCCTCTCCAAGCTTGGGTCCCACTGCTTCAAATGGGGGGACGTGGGGGAAGGGTGACAGAGTGTGCAAGACAGGTGGTCACCTCCTGCCTCCACTCCTGCAGCACGCTCTGCTTGCCCAGCCAACTCTACTGCTCTGCCTGGAACTGTCTGGCACTCACAGACTGACCATGCCTCGTCGGCTCACCCTCCTCAGCACCCACAGCAGCCCTGGGACACGGGACCGGGGCTCTGTAGCAGGCACGGCACTATACATCCCTGCAGTCACCACGTGCTCACCACTGATGCATGCATCTCTGCTCAGGATGTGTGCGCGAGCACTGCACTCAGTCGAGAGGCCCGACTCTTGGTCTGTAGGAAAGAACTCTGGCACGGCTGGCGTAGAGGGGGCCCACGCGTCTGCTGGTTCTGTGCCGGAGCCCTTCCAAACCAGCCCTGCTCTACTCTCGTGTAACCCCTGCCCTCTTCCAACCTCTGGTCACTCCTCCTCCTCCATCTTAAACGCCAGCACATCACTCGTAGTCTTTCTCTTCACCCCAAGACCCGCTATCGCCCTACATGGTTTCGGCATCCATCTGGATGACCCACCTGACCCCCCCCACCTCAGCATTGCCCCCTCACTCCATTATGCTCTTCTCCTCTCCACGAAGCTGCACACTCCCATCACCGCATCTGGTGAGTGCGGCCATCTGTCACTGCTCCATCTGAAACGGCACATTCAAGCATCCCCGCTGGACCACAACTTACCAATCTACTAGTCCTCCCACTCTGGTCCTGCTTTGCCAGGTCTTTGAATTCAGCAAAAGTCTAGGGCCCGAATCCTCAACGTCCTATCAGCATTCTCCTTTCAGTACAGATGCAAGGAGAATCTCTGTGGCACGGGCACCCGTCACCAGAGCAAACAGTACTCAAGTTACACAGGGCTGGCTCTGCCAAAGAGGCCCCGGAAATCTTCCAGCACAGCCAAAAGCTGTGGAAGCAGACATCGCTCTGGGTTTGACGTACAAAGGAGAGCCACTAGTGAGTTAGTAAGTTATTAACTATGTTATTTCAAATGAAAATGGCAGCAAGGATCCAAGACATAATTCCCCCACACGCCAGTTGTGGGAGTTTGAGCAGGTCACTTAATCTGAGTCTCAGTTTCCTCAACTGGAAAATGTGATTAGATATTCGTACTCTGAAGGGTTATGTGAAGATTCGAAGACTTAGGCATTAATCCCCTTAGAGAATTAGAGTACAAGTGGCTGGCAGGCTCCAGGCAGCAACTTTGAGGCCACTGGTCCAGCCCAGCCTGTGCCTCCTGGCTCTCTAGGGAGAGAGTGCATTCAGGCCAGCTTGATGATAACCACGGAGCACTGCCTCCGGCTAAAACTAACATGGTCTTTTTAGAAAAATCTCTCTCTCTCTCTCTCTCTCAGACA